CCCCCCCCCCCCCCCGCACTTCTTCATATCTGCGGGGCACCATGTTTCTGAGATTTTTGTGTCCTCAAAGCGGGGAGCGTCTTTAAAAATGGTGCTTTAAAGCGGGGACGACTGTATCTGGTACTACTGAATGTAGGTTGGTTATCTCACACTCAAGGTGTACTTTACTTTCGTACATGATCCGACGGCGGTTCAATAGCGACTTATCCAAGGTTGGGGTGCAAAGCAAGCACATGACACTCGCGCAGCTCCACACACACCGCGGTGCATCCGCAGATTTATCTTGTGGCGCGCTTTGGTTCTCAAAGGTAACAAAAAAAGAACGCTTCATCCGCCGCTCGTTGCATCGTACAACGCCAAGTATGGAACGCCATTTTTGTTGCCGGTTGATGAACGAAAGCCTAAATAAAAGCCTGACTTTTTTTTTTTGCGGGTGTTAGGTCGTGTGTCACGGGACCATGTTCACCAAGACCGGCCTGAGACCGCGGGAGATTCAAGGCCGCGGCACCAACAGGACCAACGCCGCCTTCACCGGCGGCGACCACGACGGCGCGTCCACGAGCCTGGGGCCGCCGCTCCCGGGAAGCTGGAAGAAACTCTCGCCGATAATGGCCAGCGGCCGCAACGGCGATTCTTACGGCAGTGGCCTCGCCGCCAAGCGCCGCGCGGAGCATCCGGCAGCAAGGGCAAGGTTCGAGCCTGCCGCGGGAGTTGTTGGTAGGAGGGGCACCGCCAGGCCTGGCCGCTCGGCGCCGTCATCCGCTCGGGGGCGGGGGGGGGTCCCCGCGGGATCGACGGCACGAAAGAAGGTGCGGACTCGGGGCAGGAGCACGGGTCGCCAGGTCGAGAGCTTCAGGCGCGGCGATGGCGGCGGTGGCGGCGGCGGCGGCCGAAGCCGGTCGGCCGGTAGGAGGGCGGGGGGTTCTGCCTCCGCCGCCGTACCCGCCCGATGCCCGACGCCTCGCAAGAGACCGGAGTGGGACGACAGCCTGAGGGACCGGTCGCAGTACAGGCTCACCCCGGAGGAGGCCTTGAGGCGCAAGGTCGCTCTCGTCTCGAAGCACAACACGCTTGTGTTTGGGCTCGGCGGCAGCGGCAGCGGCAGCGGCGGCAGCAACGGGTCTTGTCCGGAGAAAGCGACGTCGGGTCCGCCTTCGAGCGTGGTTGTAGCAGCTGACGTGACACGAGGGCGCAGCGCGAAACAGCAGCAGCAGGAGGAGGGGCAAGAATCGCGCAACAGTCGTCTCGGTAGCGCGGTGTCCGCTGACGAGAAGCGCTACCACTCTCGGCAACAACTCCGACACTGCCACAGCGCCAGTAACGTCTCGACCATTTACGGCGGTGGCGGCGGCGGCCGAAAGCTAGGAGAGGCTGCCGTAGAACCCTCCGTCCCGGCCACCCCCGACGCCGACCTAACTGCGGCGGGCATCGAAGAAGGAGGCGAGCTCGCTGAGGGTGTTGGAATAGACGACGTGACCATCACCGTGTATGCGGGAGGCGGGAGCGGTGGCGGCGGCGATGACAGCGGCGACGATGAGAGCACTCGCGCTGCCGCCGCCGCTGCTAACCAAGCCCGTGCCACACCCAGCAGCAGCGACGACAACAACGCGGGTGACGGAGGGGGAGGTGGCGGCAGCGAGCCGGACGATGACGGCGGCCTGGTGGAATCGACCCGTGGCTTGGGCGGGGGCGGAGGCAAGGGCGGTGGTTGTCGCCGACGGGTGGGCGGAGCCGAAACGGGCCTGGCCAGCATCAAGGCGGGCCTTCGGGCCTTCAGCGAAAGAGTCGGGCGCCTGGAGACGTTCGGCAGGGCGGACCCAGAGCAGAGGAGCACGGCAGGGGAGGGGCAGCAGGCGGGGGGTCGGGCAGGCGAGAACGACGACCAGCCTGAAGACGTTTCGACGGGTCTTGCGGGAGGAGCAGAAGCAGCAGCGACTGCGAGCGAGCGGACGTGCCGGAGCGCTGGCCGCCGCCACGAGGTCGCCGCCCACGACAACGATCACGTTTCCGCCGACACCGGGATCGACATGGGTAAGGAACGCGACCCTCTCAGCCACGCCAATCCTCGGGAGTACCACCGCGCGAGGCCTCCCCCCTCCTCATCGTTGCCCTTCCACAAGCAGGGCGGCAGGCATGGGCTCGATCTGGCGGAACGAATCCATCTCCTGGAAGCTCAGGTTTTCCCGGCGATGTCGCCTCCTCCACCACCACCCCAAGTCGTCGAAACCGCGCCCGTGGAGACCGGTGCAGTATTGTCCGACCCAACCAAGAGGGCGTTTTCCCACAGCGACGGTGTCAAGAGCGCGGCCGTCGTCCAGCAGGGAGAACAGTCGCGGGCGGCGGCGGTGCGGGGGGGGGACGCGCGGCGAGGAACGGAGCCATTGGCGAGGGAGGAGCGCATGCGAGCGATTATCGGCGACCTGGCGTCTTTGTCGGCCGCCCTCCTGGAGCGCTTGATCACGGCTGAGGGCCGCCTTCGGAACGCTGCCGCCGCGGGCGGCGGCGGCAGCACGGATGTGCTTTGCCAGAAGGCGCGTCTGATGGTAGCGCAAGCGGAGGCGTTCTTGGTCCTGGCGAGCGCCGGCGACGACGCGGCCACGGCACCACCACCGGCGCCGCCGCCGCCGCCGACGACGACGCAGGAGCAGCAAGAAGGAGGAAAAGCAGTCGCTGCTTCCGCTGGTGCCGCCTCTGCTGGCTCCACCGCTGCCGCTCTTGCGCTGCCGGATGGAGGAGCAGCGCTGCTTCCTCCTCCTCCTCTTCCGCGGAAAGATGCGGTACCGCCGTGTCCAGCTGCGAAGGACTGCTGGGGCGAAGCACTTGACGATCTTGGTCGCCTCGTCGACGAACCGCCGCTCTTGTGTTTCCGCGGCGATGGACACGACGGCGTCGATGCAGCGAAGCCGCCTGGCGCAGCAGGAGCTCCGGCCAGGCCTTCTTCTCCACAACCGCCGCCGTCGGCAGTGGCCGCGATGCCGCTCTCTGACCGTACCAACGGGGGGGAGAACCCGCTCGCGATTCGTCGGCCGAGGCGGCCGCTGCCGCCGCCGCTCGGCGCCGCAACGACAAGCGTTCCGCGGGCTGGCACTCCCCGGTGGGAAACGCGGACGACGGCGGCGGCGGCGGCGGAGGCTATCCTCGACGACGACTACAGCGGCGGCGCGGCGGCCGGGGTGGCGGTCTTATCGCGACGGCCGGTCGCATCGGCGGCTGTGGGGCACGAGGAGGAGGAGGAGGAGGATGTGCGTGCTGCCCTACCGGTGGCGTCCGCGCCGACCCCTTCCAAGAAACCGCGGCACCCCTTCGGGAGGCAAGGGAGCGGCGGCGGCGGCAGCAGCAGCAGCAGCAGCCCGCCGATGCGGTCGCCCAGGTGGCTCCGCGACCACGTCGGAAACGCGCACGCGGAGGCCGCGCCTGGGTCGGGACCATGGAACGGTTTCCCCCCACTGTCTGCTTCTTCTTCTTCTGACCGCCGTGGCGTAGGCGCGAACGCAAGGGAACACGGCGTTGGTGGCGGCGGCGGGAGAGACGAAGCCGAGAACTGGCCGCCGCCACCGCCGCCGCCGCCGCCGATAGGACAGTGGTACACGCCCCCGCTCAACCCAGCTTGACGGGGGTGCAGAACGTGCATCGTGCGCTTTCGCGCGTGCGCGCGTGGTTTTGTTTGGTGTCGTGTGCGCCGACTGACCGGCCTGCCTGGCTTGTTGGTATATTCGTTCGCCGTGAATGGCGTGGTGTTGCTGACCGGTGGTGATGGTTGTGTTCTGGGCGGAGATTTTTGTGTTTTGCCATGACGGTAGCGCCATGGAAGGAGGGCGAGCAATCAATGTGACGATCGCTGGCATCTATCGTCGTGTTGCTTGTTTTCCTTGTTGTTGCAGTTCTGTCGCTGATACGCGCCCCTCAAACTTCGCCGTTTAGTTTGTCATCGACGACTACTACATACAGTAGTCTACATGTTCCCGTGCAGCCAGCCGGTCACGTACCACGCCTGTAGCGCGATAAACGCCAGGACGGTGGAATAGCATCGCGATGGTTCGTTCGTTTTCACGGTCTCACCACCAAGCAAGCGAGGCGCAGCGCGGCCACGGCGGGCTGAAAATTAGCGCAAAACAGAAAGACTAGTAATACCACCTAAAGAAGCGGTTCCACTCAACCCAAACAACACCCATCCAACCAACATCAATAACACCCATCAACTTATAATGTCCGGTGGATATTGATGGTCGAGTTTCACTTGTAACTATCTCCCGACGGCCTTGGTCACAAGAGTTCAACGAGCCCGATTATCATAACTAAAACAAAGGCTGACACAGACAGCACGTTAAGGTGAAACACACATCTGCGGCTCCTACGCGACCAAAATCAGCCAGTGTGTGACCCCCTCCCCCTCTGGTGTGTGACAAAATCGATCATCATTAGTCCGAGGTCATCATGCTCTTTCCTTCGAAATCTCCGAAGAAAGGGTGGTTGATAGTGACGTCATGGGTATTTACACGTACCAGAGCCCGAGCGAAATACAAGAGCAATACAGAGACACACAGCAAAAGAGGGGGGATGAGATGAGCTTACCACTTGGTCTCTTCTTTCCCCTCTCCTCATCTATACACACATCCTATACATATCGCACGCTATTACACGTCAATTGGTCTTGCACACAGACCACGTGGCACAGACAAGACATAATTTTGCCCATGGCAACGATCTGCTACACGCACACACCTCTCATTTATCACGCCGCCATGCCATCCTACCCCCCCCTCCGCGGCAAAGCGCAGAAAAGAGCACCCTCAATGCACGCATTCCGTAGGGGCGAATCCACAACAAGGGATAAAAGCGGCACTAAAAGAATGAGAGGTGGATGCAAAAACAAACTGTTGTCTACCTGAGAGGGAGGGGGGGAAAGCGATGCGCCCGTTTGACTAATATCTGGTGGGATCGTCCCTAGCATCGCGCCAGTGGACATCGATGGTACGGTGCACACTTCACCCTGACAACGAGAGCAAATACTCGTTCACCGTTCAACTGCCGGGAAAGCAAGGTTCCGACGGGAATATTCTTACTGTACACTCGGTAGAGTCACGCACCAGGTGGGTGGTCATACGCATCCATCTCTTGCACACACACGGTACTACAAAAAAAAAGCACAACACAAAACCCTGCGTTGATGGCACTTCATGTACCGATGAGGTCGCCGAGAAAAACACGGAAGGGACTCGTGCGCACGCAACAGCTGTACACGTGCGCAGTATCCTTACCCATGAACCTCCCCTTTACTACCCCGCAGCATTTATGTGTCAGCTGGAATACTCACCTCTCTTTCTCTTTCACCAACGTCAAACAAACAAATCAGGCACCCACCCACCGATAGTGATAAATGTCCCCTCACCCACCTCACGCAAGCCTTGCAACACGTCAAACCACCGAACGAAAAAACCAAACGGTTGCTCAACCTCATTGACGAGGCCGATGAACAGTTTTCAGTATTAACACACACACGAAACAAAGAGGACCAAATCAATTCAACACGGGAAAGTACGAAGGCATTGAACACTAAAAAAAAACACAGCAACGACAAGTAATAACAACATTACCTCCTCGGCTTCTCGATGGCACCCTCGAAGTGCGTACACCGAATGCCGCAGGAAAGGAACTACCACGCGCAGCATCCCTCCGAAACCTTCGTGATCCCCCAATCAGAATATATGACGCAAAAACCTAAATGGCCCAAAACTACCCCTCTGTCTTGTCCGTGTGTGCGTGTGTTTCGTCCGTGGATCAATCTAGTTGCAAACATATCGTATTGCTCCAACCCACCGCATACAACCCCCCCTTTCCGAGAAAACGCCGCTTTGCTGCCTCCTACCGCCGACAAGAATGGCAGAGCAGCAGCCCAGCCCCGTCTCCACTCATGAACACGGCCGATAGCAGTGCACGCACGTTCCTGCTTGGCCCTTAGGCACGGGGACTGCACATCGACACCGCCATGCTACGGCGCCCCCCGGCATCTCCGGGGTGGTCACCCCTCCACCCTTGCCCCTCTTGCCCTCGCGCGTGTGGGGACAGAACCTTGGCGTCGATGTAGGGGAACGACCCGTGTAGGGTGGGGAAGGCCTGGGCGTCCATCCGGCCTGGCGTCCAATTCCTAGCGCCCACCATGGGTGCCGCCGTCATATCAGCCGTGGCCGCCGACATGCCCTTCGCCGCCCACCGTGTAGGCAGGGGCAACGCCTCCGCCGCCGTTGCCGTTGCCGCCGCGGCCGTTGGCCACGTGCTGCATCAGCCATCTCGGCGAGCGCATAGGCGGCGACCTCTGGAGGGGGTTCTGCGGCTTTTGCACGGACGCGTGCGGCCAGTACTGCTGCTGCTGTTGTTGCTGCTGCTGCAAGGCCTCGTCCTCTTCCTCCTCATCATCACCATCACCATCATCGTCATCGTCATCGTCCTGCTGCTGCTGCTGCTGCTGCTGCTGCTGCTGCTGCTGCTGCTGCTGCTGCAGGCGCTGCAGGTGCTGCTGCTGCTGCAGGTGCGGCGCGTGCTGGACTTGGGGCAACCAGGAGGCAGACCCCAGCGACGACGGGGAGGAGCTGCCGCCGCCGCCGCCTCCGCCGCCGTAGTGGGGCGACGGCGCGAAGCCGAAGCTGCCGCTCGCGCCGCCGCCGCTGATGCTCCCGATGCTGCTGCTGCCCGGGGTGCCGAGCGGGGCGAGCGCGTCGTGACGCTGCCACCGCCGAGTCGCCGCTCCGCCGTGGCCGTGGCCGTGTCCGCCGGCCGCCGCGTCCCCGCCGGCGGCTGCGCCGCCGAGGTCGGGGAACGACGGCGACTGCTGCCCGGGAACGTACGGCCCGTTGGGGTAGCCCGGTTGTCCGGAGTACGGGTTCATCTTGCTCGCTCGCTCGTTCCTATGGACGGAAGGTGGGGGGGGAGGGGGGGGGTTGAGGGAAAATATTGGGTTAGAATAACTGGTGCTAACTCCTTTTCGTGCAGGTGTTTGCGAGCCAACGTGCTTCTGTCTGGTTCCAGGTCAATTGTACCGCCAAAGCTCGAAAGAACCTCTATCGTTGCCCGGGGATCGGCTTCTTAGGTTCTCCCCGGGCGCGTGCGGCCCATCGACAGTAGTTTCATTCTCTTCATTCATGGCTACAACTTGTGGATGTTGCTGTTGCTGCCTGGTTCCGTTCGGGCTCTGCTTGGTACCATGTCGACTTCTCCTCCAGCATCCGTACCGGTCCAGTCTACCTGATGCGGACGCCTTCCGTGGTCACAGGCCAACAACACTACACTACAATAACTGCCTCTGAAAGGGTACACACGGCAGCATTGCGAAAAACTCAAACGAGAGAATGGAATGGGCCCAGGAAAAATAAAAAATAGAATTATACATCCGAAAAAGAACGGCAGAACATAGTAGAACAACTTCAGAGACAAAAATACCGAACACCGTAGTTAAGTAAAAGAGGCCCCATACAGACGTGCATTCTAACATTTGAAACCTTCTCGCCTACTTTATGTATCATCGAAGAGCTCCCGTGTGCGCGGGCTGATTAGTGTTGTTTGCATATGTTTCAGTAGCAGCATCGACCGCGCGAACCGCTCACCAACTCAATTAATGGTGGTAAACATTTTGCTGCGTGTTAAACCGCCAACAACCCAGCCGGTTTTCCTCCACTCACGAAAAAGCAGAAAAGACTCCACCACGTCCCGTTCGACTGCTGCTGAGTATATCTCGAACGGGTAGTCTTTCTGTGTGTATTATTTTTCCTAAATGATAGAAGGAAATAATGATAATGCTCCGCAGGGTCGCCCGCTGCGGACGTTCCTTTTTTATTTCATCAGTCAGTATGACCCAACGATAGGCCAGGGCCCATTCTGCTAGCAGAAAAAAGAGCAGATTTGGCCTTACGGAGCATATGCTTAAGCAGATCCAATTTCAACATCTGCTTGAGCAGAACACGCGATGTTCGAGCAGAACCACCTGCTCCCGGAGCAGAACCACATACTGCTGGCGCATATCAATCGTAAAACAAGCACGAGTGTCCATTTTGCTGGCATATCCGGCTGCAAGGCGTGCCAGAGGCTGCTGGAAGACGGACATAATTGGACTTGAGTCCAATACAAGCACCTGGGCATCTCACCGTCTGCAGTGCACCTTGTGTCACAATGGTATGTTTCATCTAGTTGTTGCATACTATCATACTACTATATAGCATTGTAGGTCCACTACGTGAATATTTGCAGCCAAGATTTTGAAAAAAGTCTGCCCAGCTGCCCAGCAGTCGCTACATCGCTGCACTCGGCACACCGCACACCGCACCACACTACACCACGGCACTACGGTTCGACGGTCTGGCGCCGCAGCTACCGACCCCGATCCCTATCATGTCGAGTATCGACGTATGTATGCGCTAGCTCTGGAGACGACGACAGCAGTCGTATTGCGGCATCCGCCCTTATTAAGTACAACAGGCGCAGCGAGTAGGGTGGAGATACTTTAGTGCTACTTTCCGATAAGTTGGTCTTCCGCTCTTTGTTTTTTTCTGCGGTGGAACACCGCTCTCGGGGATGTTTCGCCTTTGGCCTTTCTTTGTCATGGTGTGGCGGTTTTGGTTGGCAGCGGGCAACCATTCGTATCGGGTACTGGTCGGGGTGGGGGCGGGGGCGGTCATCATGCGATGACTCGAAGAATATTGTATTATAATATTCAGCAACCTGTTGAACCCTGGAGTGAGTGATAAAAGCCGAACAAATCACTGCCTGACATGAACGCGGTGGAAGGAATGAATGGGTGATCCTTCGACATCCTTTCTGTAGAAATAGCATTAAATACGGCATGAGACGAGGAGCAACTTGAGCCCAAAAAAACGCAAACACGCAAGTGAGGCACTACTAGCATTGAAAGAGCCAAAACATGATGCATTGTGCATAGGTTGGTGACGGCATAATATCCATCCACCCTGAACAGTAGTAAACTAGTAGAACAAGAGAGCATAACTGGCCGAAACAAACATGCGTATGTGAGGGCAGATCCACCCAAAAGGAGCAGAACACGAGCAGATCCACCCGAAAGGAGCAGAACACGAGCAGAATTGGCGCAAAATTACGAGCATATGTGACGGCATAACGGACGAAAATGAGCAGAAGCAACGAGCAGATTGGACTTTTAAAGCAGATGCTTGCCGAAAAAAAGGAGCAGAAAAAAAAAAAAAAGCAGAATGGGCCTGGGCCTACCCAACGAGTCCATCTCTACATCGAAGGAATGAGTCTACGACAGATTATTATAGCAACTAATCCATAGCGTCAGCGAAAGTGCCGTTTTTCCACGATTGCCCGAGCAGCAGCACACAGCAGTGATATATCCCCCGGGGTAACAGGGTCAACATGACAATTTGGTAGCTGTCGTTTTGTTGAGTTGTTTTGGGGGGGGAGGAACAATGGGCGAGAGAGGAAGAAGCTTCCACGAGTCACCATGCATGCATACGTAGCGTACACATGGCGCTACTGCTGTACCGCCCACGCCGCTACAGTAGAGGTCTCTGTCTTATACTTCGTCGCATAGTGCGGGTTGAATAGAGCCGGTGCTCGGCACGTGTGCCGATGTTTGTTTTCGGCGGGCACGAACTGAGTTTTTCAATAATTCTAATTACTTTGAATAGTCATTGTTGTCGTGAAGATGGTGGTGCACAACCTAAACTAGAGGCGTTGGAACCGTCTCGTCGAGATCTTCCGAACGCCCATCGCGTGAGTTTCATACATAACATCCTCTTCGTCGTGGAGAATTCGCGCCTTGCACATCGGTCCTATCGGTGTGTGGTATTCACCTTCAAGCAGAGTAGTACATGAATGGTCCCGAGGGATGTCGACAGCAGTCGCAGAATTAAGGGCAGCTAGCTAGCAGTGACTTTATACAAACTTGACAACCCAAGGCTCTTTTTATCAGAATCTGAAAGGACGATTGTGAGAATCCTCGACCTGCCCGTTTCCAACGGCGGAACTGAGCGCTGCCAAACCAGCACTACTAGCGGCCCCGAATCCGCGGCTTGCTGTCTCGCCGCGCTGCTGGCTCCGTGGACAACGGGGATGCCATGCGTCATTTCACCATGGGTGGTGGGCTGGCTACAGCAGTATCATGTACTTGGAACAAATTCAACCCAAGTCGTGCCAAAGGCACAGGGAGACAGACTGACAGCAAAGCGCCCCTCAGGAGGAACGCAACATGGGATGCTGCAAGGCGCGGTTACTATGCATATCTAGTACGTCGGCGATCTCTTGGGTGAAGTACGTACATCACACAAGAAAGACCCAACGAAAACGATCGGTGCTATGCGTAGGCCTGGTCGTGCCAGCAGAGAAATCAACAAATGATGTAATTGGTTGGTTGAACTTCGCCGCGCGTGTGCGTGCTGTCACCTCTCAAGCGCCACACACACCGACACTAAGCTTGCGCACACGGATAAACTTCACGCAAGCTAGACTGGTAAAAACTCCCCGCCATAGCAGGAGTGCCTGCTGCTGCTGCTGCGGTGACGGGGCTGTCAGTCCACCGCTGGGGCCTCACCTCACTCCCCTTGATGATGTGTTTCTTTGTTGCTGCGCACCCAAGTTTCCAAGCACCGCTGCAAGATCCCCGGGCGGATTGAGATGATCCCCGCTAGCAGTGGCTGCGTGCAGCGCCTGTTTCGACTCGCCTCGTTGCCTTTCTTGTTCCTGTCTCTGTGCCCACGCTGATTTTGCCGGGATCGAGCGTTGCAATAGGTTGGTAAATGTTAGGATGTCTCTCAGAGTAAGTTGAGATCTCCGCGAGGATTTTGTACCACAAACCCTTCCGATCTCTCTGCTTACGTACGTCTAGTCAATCCGCGTCAACAGAAAAAAAACAAAAAAACAAAAAGTAAGGTTCCGCAGAATGTTCCGCGTCTGTAAGATCTTTTCAACATCAACGACCAGGACCGTACTGCTGTAGCAGGTGTAGGTACATAGGTGTGCGTGATCAAGAATTGTCACTTAACCGATGAACCGCTACCACACGGTTGATGTAGCTGCTGTAGCTGCTGTTGCTGCTGTTGCTGCTGGTGGTTGGTGCTGTGTGGTGAGTACAGATCGCGCTTACCCCCGGCCATTATCTGATCAAGCGACTGACGCGACGATCGATGATAATCACATCGTCATAGCATGTACGATTCGTTCTTGTTGGGCAGTAGGCAGTTGACCATGGAATGGAATTCCGAATACAATGTAAAACAGCACCAGCTATATTTGCATTGTCAGAACAAGGCGCGCAATATCTTGATGCGTGCGCATTCAACACGACCAGACTCAAGTTACGCTGTAGATACGCGAACGGACCAGAGGAGACCAGAACGACCATAGTCTAGATAGATATGCGAACGGACCAAAACGGTCATTTGGTGCCATTTGGGCAACGACCAGCAGCAGCTGGGTCTACCTGAAGACTGTACCGAAGACCCAAAGAATGGCGTTGTTCTAAAGTAACCAATACGAATTCATCGAGGCGTCCGCCGACGCAAGACCTTCTTTGCAGCCGCGTGATGATGGTGGTCGAACTTACTTGTCATGACCAACGCGGCCCGCCCGCTGCAAGGCGATTTGGCATTATTTTCACCTCCAACATGGATTTTTGTTTGACGATCGATTGTGATCGGCTGCGGCCGACTCTCGGTCCTTCTTCCGTGGTATCTACAGACAGAACGGGAGGCATTCCCTTGTCCAATATGATATGATTTTGTCATGGCGAAGGAAGCTGAACAAGACTGGACGATCACTTGCTGCATTCAAGGCTAAAAAATAAAGAAACATCATATCTTCATCATTTTATTGCATCATGCGCGACACGGAAATCAACAATATGGTATGCTACTTTTAGGCACTTGTTTATGGTTTCCAAATCTTTATCTTCCTTTCTTTCGACAAATGTTGACTTTTTCGACCTTTTGGGCAGTCTGCCTCCCGAACGAGTGCGAATCAGCTGTTCGACCTTCGAGAGCAGTCACAGCTTTGGCTGAGATGTCTACAGATCGCCTACATGCTTCGCCAGGGTTCACGTTTGATTTTTTTCCAGCAGAGGAAGATATTGAACATTCGGCCGAAAGGCCACCTCGGAGCAAATCTGGGGCCAAGATCTGTCCAAAAGCTGGTGTTGGAAAAATCTTGCGTGAAAATTGCACACCTAGAAAAAATCAAACGTGGACCCTGGCGAAACATGTAGGCGATCTGTAGACATCTCAGCCAAAGCTGTGACTGTTCTCAAAGGTCGAACAGCTGATTCGCACTCGTTCGGGAGGCAGACTGCCCAAAAGGTCGAAAAAGTCAACATTTGTCCAAAGAAAGGAAGATAAAGATGTGGAAACCAAAAACAAGGGCCTTACTACTTTAGCAACACATTTGCCGGCCGGAGAGTACTCGCAGCCGAGGATCCTATTGGATAATGGTACTACAGAAAGCAGCCGGACGACATTGTATACTATCGAGAAGAGAGGATCGCGTTCGCTGGCTTCAGTCAGCTCAAACCTAGCTCGAGGCACTATATGCAACCAACCCCTGAAATATCTACTCCCAGGTAAAGGTAACTGTGAGCAGGGGAATACAAGTCAAAATGACGGATACCTTGCTTGGCACACGGACGGGTTAACATCAATAACTAACTACGTTCGATACTCAGCAGCGCCAGAGGCGCCTAGCATGGTTCCGTTTACCAAATACCATGGAACATACCGTACATCCCGTGACTCCTAACAACAAAACCACCATACGCATGGTAAATAGAGGAACATCTCCCCCGTCGTCAGTGGTTCCGAGTCAACATCGAAACGGCACACCACGGCTGTTTCCGGGTCCAACCTGAATATGGCTCCATTCTGTAACTTTTTGACAATGGCATACACCCCCGATCACCGTGGCCACCCCCACCACCATCTCCTCGGAGGACTTCCACATCAACCTCCCCCCCGACCGCCCGCCAGTCCGCACTGTCATATTCCTCCGCCAGCATCGTACAGGTCCACTCCCTTTGCCTGCTGCTGCTCCCCCTCTCCCCCTACCGCTGCTGCTGTCGATGTTGATGGCAACGGCTGTGCTCGGGGCCCTCTATCCCCGGTGCGCCAGTAGGCTGCCAGGGCGCTGCCAATGAGGGAATGGCACGTAGCCGAGACCGCTCCCGGGATCGCCGACAAGGGGTCCGCGAGGCCCCTCTGCGCCAGGACGACCGCCAGCGCAGAATTCTGCATGCCAACCTGTTTTTTTGTTGTTGGACGCACGCACGCATTCCGGGAGGAGAGTGCGTTTGCCTGTTATTCACTACACCGCGCGTGGTGTCTCTGTGTCTCTGTGTCTCTGTGTCTCTGTGTCTCTGTGCCTCTGTGTCTCTGTGTCTCTGTGTCTCTGTGTCTCTGTGTCTCTATGTCTCTGTCTCTGTCTCTCTCTGTCTCTCTCTCTCTCTCTCTCTCTCTCTCTCTCTCTCTCTCTCTNCTCTCTCCCTCTCTCTCTCTCTCTCTCTCTCTCCTCTGTCTCTCTCTCTCTGCCTGCCTGTCTGTGACTCTTCTCTGTCTGTCTGTCTGTCTGTCTCTCTCTCTCTGCCTCTGTCTCTGTCTCTCTCTCTCTGTCCGTCTCTCCCTCTCTCTCTGTAAGTGTGTGTGTGTCTCCCTCTCTGTCTCGAGTAAAACAAGATAGTGTGTCTTGTGTGTGAGTTTCTTTGGTTGGCATCAACCGCGTGCTGCAAACCGGCTGACCCATGAAAATAGTTGTGGGATGACAGACGAAAACATTGTTCTAGTCTAGTCAAAGGCTTCTACCGACAGGGGGGGGGGGCAGGAGTTGGACTATAACAGCAGTGTCCTGTGTGTTTGTGTGCTGCTTCGAAGCATTTAAGTGTATTTGTTACCCAGTTGCGTAACGATTAGACCCCCGTCTTACAAACGTAGCGGCTGCATATCAAACTAAAAAACTACAACGCTCTCATATTCCTTTCATATTCGACGTACAGCAATAGAAGCAGAACGCCCGTTGTGAATAAAACACGTTTCGGAGGGAACCAAGAAAAAGAAAGCATATTCCATGCATAAGTATGTAAAACGACGATCAGGACCACCAGCAAAGCATAGAGAAAAGATGGCTGTGTTGTGAGAACTGATCTCATTCGTGTCCTATTTGCGACAAAGGGGTGCGTTAGTGAGAATCTTGAGCGGCATCTCCTTGCTAACTTCTATAGAGTGTCGGGCCAAAGCGCGCTTGAGAACAAGCAACGTCTGCCCTCCTCTCGATGTATCGACAGGCCAATCAGTGGTTGTCCTTCCGACCTCACCTCGATACTTGTTGTACGAGCCTCTTGCTCGGTAAAACCGCAAGCTCGCATCCCTCCGTATCCCACCGCGAATCTGAACGAGAGAGCGAAGCAGGGGGCACATACGAAAATCCATACGGGATTGGGAGGGGGGTGGGAGGGGGGTACTCATAGTCGTGCATGTCGTAGTCGTTAGACCATTGACCTCGCATCCCTACAAAGCCGGGACGGAGCACGCCGGGTTCTCACCGGACCAGGCTCTCACATCACCAAGCGCGAAGCGCCGTGAGGTATTCGGCGAGTCGCATGAAGGGTGCGCTGCATCCTGCTAAGGGTGTTCGGCATCTTGTGCTTACTTCCTTGCGTACGGATGACAGCTGCGTATGAATTAATTTATTTTCTGGTGCTTTCACTTCCAGAGACAGTTGTAAGCACTGTGTAACTGCCTCGAGGGTGCTTGACCATTTTAACACAACGTGGTGCGATCATCCCCCTTGCGCGGAGTGAGGGTTCTCCACCCCGCACAACATGATCTACTCGACCACCATTATGGTTACCGCCAAAAAAAAATAAACGGAGGAAAAAAAAAAAAACGGTAACCTGGTTGCCGAGTTCACGAAGTGAATTGGCTTGTTTTACAACGTCGTTGCCAAGCGACGAAAACCCAATCCCGATAGGCAAACACCGGGGGGGGGGGGGTGTACTCATAGTCGTGCATGCCGTAGTCGTTAGACCATTGACCTCGCATCCCTACAAAGCCGGGACGGAGCACGCCGGGTTCTCACCGGACCAGGCTCTCACATCACCAAGCGCGAAGCGCCGTGAGATATTCGGCGAGTCGCATGAAGGGTGCGCTGCATCCTGCCGAGGGTGTTCGGCATCTTGTGCTTTCTTCCTTCGGTACGGATGACAGCTGCGTATGACATAATTTATTTTCTGGTGCTTTCACTTCCAGTGACAGTTGTAAGCACTGTGTAGCTGTCTCGAGGATGCTGGACCATTTTAACACAACATGGTGCGATCATCCCCTTTGTGCGGAGTGAGGGTTCTCGACCCCGCACAACATGATCCACTTGACCACCATTATGGCTACCGCCAAAAAAAAATGAGGTAAAAAAAAACGGTAACCTGGTTGCCGAGCTCACGAAGTGACTTGGCTTGTTT